GCTGCAGGCAGGTGAACAGGCGCTGCAAAGTTTGAAGCAAGAAAAAGAGGAACAAATATGTAAAAGCAGAAAAAAAATAGGAAGATGTGTCAAATAAATTAAAATACTACAAAATAAATCTATATGTTTATGTCTATATATATGTATATAAGTTAATATGCGCAAACAGATAAATTATGCGCCTCATCAATCTTATACTTAATTTTATACAATGCTTTTGTGTTTACACGAGAAAACTTATTTGTTTCACAAAAGCCTGGCTACTAACAATAAAAACTAAACATTTTTGGTGTTTTTAAATATTTATAGGTTTATACAACAACAAAAACCAAAACACAAGCTTATTTATGTAATAAATTATTTTAGCGTATTAACTGTCGCCTTGCGTCAGATAAGACTTTAACAGTGTTTTTAAATTAGTTTAAGATACATTTGTAATTAATTTGCTTTTAATGAGATGTTTGTTAATTTAGTTAAAACCAAAAGATTGATTGCCATTAGTTGTATTAATCAGATTTAAATTAGTTAATTAGATTTAAATATAACACTAAATTATTATAGTTTCAGTTTCTTTTTTTTTATTATTGTCTTATAACACATTTAGTATAAGGTGCTTATAATTAATTATAGAAACTAGTTAAAATGACTAATTTTTAAACTGTATTGCAATTAGTAAAAAAAAAGCATGCACATTTGACTCGACTAAACACTTGTATACTCTCAAGCTGAAAATGGCACGTTTTCTAAAAAATATTTAACAAATTATTTATGCGAATCTGTGTCTTATGCAACCATGCGCTTAAAAACTGATTTGAACTATTTATTTTATCTATAAAAATCCGGTTTAAAATACACAAGATAAAACGTTAACTGCGTTTGCACCGAAGCTATAATACCCTTCAAGAATACAAAAAAATTAATAAAAATTTCTTACAAGAACTTTATTCCGAACGTACAGTTGGTAAAGCAGCTATATGCTATAGTAATCCGATCTAAATAATATCTTAGGATATTATCTATCAAATAAAGAAGCTTTCCATACCAGCACTTGATACCGATCGTTCAGTTTGTATGGCAGCTATAAGCTATAGTGGTCTGTTATCGGCGGTTCCGGTAGTTGAGCAGCTTCTTGGACAGAAAAATACGTGTGCAAAACTTCACATTGATATCTCAAAAACTGAGGGACAGACATCCCCAAATCGACTCAGCTCATTACGCTGATCATTCCCAATATATGAGTGATCAGCGTAATGAGCTGAGTTGATTTGGGCATGTCTGTCATGTATGTACATATTTTATAGGGCCTCCGTCGTTTCCTTCTGGTTATTACAAACTTCGTGGCAAACTTAATATAGCCTGTTCAGGGTATATAAATCAAGTTAAAAGTACTGGAAGTGTAAGTGCTGTAGTTCAGTAAGTCTTAAGTCCCCAAAACTCTTTAAAAAATTTATGTGCATATTTTTTTGGTATTCTCGCTTAAAAAATCATTGTAATGATTATTATTGTAATATTATTATTTCCAATAAAAAGGCAAGCTTTGGGTAGTCTAGTTTTAATTTATGTTAATTTAAAAGTCGTTTTTGAGTTGGCTTCCTGGGATTTTTAAATAAAACTTGCAAATGTTGTAGATATTATGCGGTTGCAATTGCTTATCAGTCTTGTACGTAAGTTGCTTTTCAAGTTTAGTAGCAAAAAACTAATTTTTAGAAATTATGATACCGTAGCGCCAACTGCCGAAAAAAACTGGTTTTACTCAAATTGAGTTTTTTTTTACCTTATTATATTTATACATATATATATTTTAATTTCTATTGAGGTAATAAGTAAGGCGATTATAGAAGTTTTATTCACAATATAAAATATTTTGAAATAATAATTCGATTTGTTTATGAAAAATCTTTTCTTTTTTTTTACAAACAAAAAAACTAAATTTTTTTTTAAAGATTTTATATTTTTCTTTCTAAAAAAAAATGTCAGCTAAAATTAAGCAGCATTTTTTTATATTTTACTTCTTATGCCATATTCTAGAAATAAGTACAGTATGTGCGCAAGAAAGAAAAAAGCATTTAGGTAACGACAACTACTAAAATTTATTTACCTCGCTCAACACCCAAAATAGCAAGAAAAAGCGCTACAATTCGTTTATTTCAATTTGTGCTTCTTTCATTTGCTTTTCTTTTCATCTACTTACCATTTCGTCTTTAAACTCAGCTTAGACATTTTTTACACTTTTGCCGCTAATGATTCAAACTATGAGATTTTATTTTGAAATTACTTTTTAAAAGCCTCATCTTGCTAAAAATAGCAAACGCAAAGATGACATCAAGTGAAGAAAGGTGCAAGAAAGCAATATAAGGCGAAAAAGATACACAAAACAAAAACATAAGAAATGAAGACACAATAAACAACCTTAAGTTAAAATTAATAAGCAATACACAAAAGTGGAAGAAAACAATAATGCCTGGAAGGTAGGGGATGACTTGGACTATGGGCTGGCGCGATAAAAGCGAATTAATGAGCGATTCTAAAAGAGATTAGGCCAAACACGTAACAACAATTGTGTTTATTTTTAGAAATTATTAAAAGAATTTTTTTGCTAAGTACGCGCGGAGTGTTGATGGTTGATGGGTGCAAAAAAAGGTGTGGAAGGTGTGTATGTGTTTGGCTGTGCAAAGTTATAAAAAGAAGTTAGTCAAGTAAAAAAAATGGCATTTTTATCTGTATTTGCTTAAGTTTAGGCCTTGCAGTGCGTTAAGGAAAACTACACAAACATAAATTAAATATTGCTTATTAATTGTTTTCGACAGCTGGCGGCGACAGTTTAGCAAATTGTTACTAAAAATAATCAATTTATGCAATGAAGCGCTGTACTTGGGGAATTGCCAATTTCTTTCTTATTTTCTGCTTTGTCATAAAGTCAAGCAATTATAGCTAAAATCCTTTCACTCATAAAGTCTTAAAGGCTAGTGGTATAAATTAACAAAAAATAAATAAAATAAAAAATCGTTAGGGTTATGTAGTGTAGCATGTACATTTTTTGAGCTGCCAGACTATTGTTTGAATGACTATCAATATTTTATGGTTTTTGGTTAATTAAATTTTTGTTTACACTCATTGCCAAAAATCTTAGTTAAATGTAATACCAACAATAAATACACACACATAGTACATAATATAAAAATTTAGAAACAAAAGTTGTTTTTTCTTAAAGAAAAAAAAAGAAGCTGTTTGACAATGTAATTGCCTTTTAATCGTGCTGCCGAAAATACTAACGAAAACAACAATATAAATTGCTTGGCAATAGAGGCTAGAAAAAGTGTGTAAAGCAAGATTATATGAATTAAGACAGTATATTTTTATAGCCGCCAAGTTGTGCTTTTGACAAAGCGTAAAGGCGTGTGATAGAGTTAAAGCCATGCTAGAGCTGAAGATGATAATTATGGTATAGTGGTAGCATTTGCGTGCTGCTTTTTTCTTGCCTTCAAGCAGATGTGCCGCTTTGTTATTATTGAGTGTCTAAATATTTTTAATAACTCTTTAGTTGTTGTAGTCTCTGTCACTATTTGTCGTTTTTGTGTTGTTGTGCAGATTTTAGTTTAGTTTAATTATTATTTTTGCCAATTTTTGAAGGATAAATTATTTATTTTCTGAGCTGCATAAATTTATACTCGTATTTTGAGATACATATAAAAATAACTAAAATTATGAAAAAATAACAATTAAAAGTTAGTAAAGCCGCAAGCAACGCTATTTGGCGTTCTGTGAATTTGTTCGTTACTTTGAGCTGTTTTTGTTTAATTTTATTTTATAGCCCTAAACAGGCTATATTAAGAGAACGTCGGAGACGTTATTAAATATTTATCTAAATGATCAGCATGACGAGCTGAGGCGATTTGGACAAATTAGTCTGTCTGTCCCTCTCTATGTATATACGCGAATTAGTCCCTTAGTTTTTGAGATATCAATCTGAAATTTTACACATGTCCTATTCTGCACAATAAGCTGCTCATTTGTCGGAATCGCCGATATCGGACCAGTATAGCATATAGCTGCCATATAAATTGAATGTTCGGAATCAAGTGCTTGTATGGAAATCTATTGTATTTGGCAAGATATCTTTACGAAATTTCGTATAGACTATTTTCTAAGTCAACGCTACAATATCTGAAAAAACTTTTCTGATCGGGCTACTATAGCATATATCTGTTATATATAAACTGTACGATCAAAATCAAGTTCTTGTATGGAAACATCGTTATTTGTGAAGCGCATTACAACTTCGCTGCAACCGTAGTTAACGTTCTTTCTATTTTTTATATTTTCTTTTATATTTTTTCATGCCGTTGGGTAACCTTAAACATTTAGATATTCAGACAATCAGTTTCAGAGCGATTTTATATTATACACATTTAATCTAATATTTGACATTTTATTATAAAGTAGAACAATTTAGTTTTTAGACTTTCTAACCAACCATTTTTTTTTATTAATTTTATAGTTTACAAAGCATTACTATTAACAGTAATATATTTTTTTATAATTTTTTTTTCTACAATATTAAAAACATAACAGCATTAATTTTATATATTTATAACATTTCAAAATTTAGTTTCACCAACGTTGTCAACGCTTCTTTGAAGTATGAATTATTGCTATAGCAAAATATTTTCTCAAAGTCATTGTCGCCTCATTTATAAATGTATTTTTAGATGATATATGTAGTTCCAGTAGTTGTGGGCCTTTGAGAGCAGCCATTGAGTGTAAATCACTTTCAGTTTTTCGCACTTGTACAATATATATAGTTTTTATGCGGTCTATATTTTGTATTTCAGGTGAAATCTTACAATTTTACTGCTATGTTTCTAAATATAATAGATGCTTAATGATCTTGAAAAATATATAATTACATATAAAGTTGACGAGTTATGCGGAATCGTGTAATAAATTAAGAGAAGAGATTAAGAATTTTTGTTTCAGCAATAAATTTATTAATTTTTTTAACTACGACTTCGTAAAGAAATTTGAAAATTTAAGTTAGAATAGATAGGTGACGTCTCTAATATGACTGAATGTAATTTTTACATTGTCTTTTACTTTGCCAAGCTCCAAAAGGTATCAGTTATTAAGAATCACTATTTGAGACAGATCTTGAGTCATAGGTAAAGTATTTGCAGTCTTCAAAGACATCAGCGAGTCTTCTCTGAAATCAAAATTGAACATGTAGTGAAACTCTGCTGTATAAATAAAATTTAAAACCGTCTTTCTATACCTAAACACATCCACATATATGTATATATGTATATAAATATGTATCTACGCATAAGAAACGAAGTAATATTTCCAACTTTGCAGCAGTCAAAGAACTCATAAAGTAATTCATGCATAAGAGTATTTAATTTTTGTGTTGTTGTCACCAGTTGGCTGCATTTGCATGTTGGTTGAGGTGCCAAGTGCCAAGTGCTGGCGTTGATGACTGACCACCAACAAACAAGCGGCCAACAACAACAACACAAACAACTAATACAATAATAACAATGCATGTAATAGCATAATGAGTTGTTTTGTATGCGCTGTGCTCGTTCTTTGATAGCCTAATGGCTTTTGGCTGCTGGTTAACGCTGTCGCACTGACTCGCTGCCAGTCAGATACATTCGCTGCGACGTGAACGGCATAATTTAACAATAATTTTTCGTAACTAATTCGTAATTCAAAACGATAATGCAATATGGTGTAATGTACTAGCAAATAGGCAAATGAACGTGTCCGCTTAAGTATCTACATATGTATTGTATTGTTGTTTTTTATATATGCATGTCTAGTTACGTATTATATATGTGAACGTTATAGGCCAGTATTGTAAATAGATATCTTATCCGCGCTATTTTTTCTAAGCTTTGTTCAAAAATTGTAAAATTCTTAAATAATTTGCTACTTTCAGAAAATATTTATTTTCAAAAATGTTAATCTAAATTCAGAAATTTTCATATTTTCTTTAATCAATTTCAGGTTTTCTACTAGTTCTTGAAATAGGTCTTTGAAACTTCTTAAATACACTTTTTAAATAATTTGCTACTTTTAGAAAATATTTTCGAAAATGTGAATCCAATTTCAGAAATTTTCATATATTCTTTATTAAATTTCAGGGTTTCTCCTAGTTCTAAAAATAGGTTTGTCATATTTAGGCTTTGATAAAAAATTGTAAAATTCTTAAGTAATTTGCTACTTTCAGAAAATATTTATTTTCAAAAATGTGAATCTAAATTCAGAATGGTTCATATTTTCTTTAATCAATTTGAGGTTTTCTACTTGTTCTAAAATAGGTTTGTCACATTTAGCAACGGTATAGTTATCAGTAATTAATTTTTCTAACCTCGATACCTCGCCAAGCTTAGCAGTGTTTTCAGCGCGTCGAAGAGTCTTTACCGTTAGACATAAAATTGTACAACTGCAGCTTCAAATGTCAATTACACACATATTGTTGCCTCTCCGCTTATTAACTGCAACATGCCACACACCGACAATGCAGCAATACATTGTAGGCAACTGGAATTAAACCAAAAACAAAAACGAAAAAATGAAAACTAACTCGCATTTGCCAAACCTCTGCAGCGGTCGAGTGGAAAAAAGCTGACAAGCTTAGTCACCTGATCGCTTGTTGTCATTGTTGTTGTCGTTAGTTTATTTTGCAGCATGGCTTGTTTCTATTTTAGTTTTTAGCCTTAGCACACACACACACACACACACCCACAATAGCTGTCGTTTCGTTGCGGCTTTTGTCGCTACGGTGTTGCTGTTGTTGCTACTTTAAGTTCGCTGGCCGTTCATGAACTACAAAAGCCGCTGGCTCGTTAAGTTGCGGTTGTTGGCTTCGCTGCGTCACGTTGTTTTTCACGTTCGAGCCGCTCCGTCGGCCGGCCGCCCCGTCGTTGGGCTCAAATTCGCCGGAGCTCCAACTGGGCGGCTTAGCAGTAGTTACTTTGTTGGCAGCCATGCAACAAAAGTGCGTTTGTAGCGTTTGTGCGCTTAGTACTTTTAAGCATGTGCGCTCATGTGTGCGTGTGTGTGCGTTTATATTTATACTTGCGCATGCAACTATAATGGCAGCTTAACCGCAGAGCCGTAGCGTTGCGATGCATTCAAATGCGATGTAAAATAGCCACAAAACAAAAACAAAACTCAAATGACAGCCACCATATATGTGCTTATGTGTATGTATGTGTGTGTGTGTATGTGCATATGTGTAGGAAAATGTGAAACCAAATAAGCAAAGCCAAACAAAAAACACTGAAAATACACATTAAAAGGGTAAAATTGTAAAGAAAAGACTAAATTATTTGTTTTTTGCTTTCTATTATTATTTTTTCTTTATGTTTTAATATTTTTATTAGTTTTTCTTTCTATATTCTTCTTTCGCTTATCTTCATTGTAGTTGCATCGATTTTTATTTGCTTTAGTCAAGTTTACGCTTTATCTCATTTTCTAACTGTTTTTTCTATTTGCACTGAGTAAGCAATGTGTAAATATATATACTTTTTACAACAACTTTCGATGAGTTATATAGTCAAATATATATATTCTAGTATGTCACTCGTTGATATTCGCTCTTAGTTGCTTTCATTTAGCATAATTTCTTATTGGTTTGTAAAATGCCGGTGAGTATATGTAACCATATTTGTTTGTTGTTGTCATTGCAGCAGCAGAAAACAGGATCTAAATAAATTTTAAAATTTCTGCCGTGTAGACCGGACACCGGACAGTTGTAAGTACGTTACCCGAAACTAACTAATTATAAGGTGAAGAGTATAAGATGTGCTCGGGCTACTATAGCGGTATTCATCACATTCATACTACCAGATACTAAATTCACTAAGCGTATGGAACTGGGGTATTTGGTATATCCTCCTTGTTGCCCCAAAAGAAAATTTACTATTTTAAAATCGACGCATAATTGCTAGGTATGTTCTATGTATTTTGTTTTCTCAAATTGGTTCAGATAGGCCTTTTTATAGAATCAGTCTATTTAAACGGCATTCTCTAAACATATAATATAATCACCATAAACTGCACAAAAGCTATTCGGATCATTTAAACAAGTTTTGCTTTATGTAGACATAGCGGTTTATTTATGATTTTAGTCATTTTTTGCCCTAAAAATTAATTCAAGTAAGCTGAGTAAAGGTATTTCAAGAAAACTTAGTTCTAGTAAGCCAAATGATAATATTTCAAGAGGTACCTGTATTACTAAAGCTAGAGCTGCTAGAAAGAAACTGAGAATAGATTTTAGCGACGTTTAATTAGTAAGAAACAGTTTAGAAACTTCATAAAATAAAAATAAAGCTAAATTTTTTTACCAGCCACCTATTTGTCGCTCATTCGAGTTCTGTAAGCTACGTCAGCTCGAAACCTTACCAATCTTTATATCTTAGCAACCTATTGTTATGCGCGTGCTAATATTATTTAAACTAATGAAATATTTAAACTAATTAAAGTATAGGTAAAGAATATTAAAAATATTTCATATAAATAATAATCTACCATTTGTAAGCTCTACGAAATATGTTTCAGAGCTAGATTTATTTTATTGGAAGCCGTTTTTTTTTTGCTTTGAGGAGTTGATTGTATATTTTTATATTTAATCAACTAAATTTTGTTGTTTCTGCGAATGACTATGTGACGTGATATTTATGCTTCTTTAGATTAAATCTTTAAATTTCTGTTCTCAAATCTACCTCCCACCTTCTAAATGAAAGTAATGGATTTATAAAATTTTTGCTTTCAAATAAATATGACATAAGTCACTATGCTTGCAGTATGCAAGCGCTTTTGACTGCACTAGACGATTTCGCTTCCAAAACCAATAATCGAATTACCGAATGATACCTCCCTCTCCATTTCTCTAAACTACGAGTTAGTTACGATTGAAATTGACAGCGCTCGCCTTACAAGTGCTTCGCGTTAGAAAAATTTCTCAGCGATGCGATAGTGGCGCCATCGCGCGGTGAGTGTAAGTTGAGTTAAGAGTTGTCGAATCGAGCACCTCCTAGATTATCTGACAAGTGAATGCTTCTACGAGTTTTATGCTGGCGTCAATTTTTCAAATCAGAAAACAGTCCACATACCATATATATATAATATTATAAAAAATTGTCTATTATATATGATCAGTAGAGTTTAGAAGCGCTATTACTAAAACCACTGTTGCTCTGGAAGCTTAATCCATGTGGCTACGGTCAACGACAGCCCTAACAAAAGTCGGGTTTTTTCATTTTCGTCATAGTCTTGCGCTTCTGATCAATTCCACCAGTCACTGTGTATATGAAAAGTTTGCTTAATATACACTTTTTTTCATATGTTTGCACACACTACGGCATTTGTGAGAATTATGTTATGTTTTATAATTGCGCACCATGTAAACTTGTGGAGCAGTCGGACTAATTACACTGTTAGACCACTGGAAATTGCGGAAATGCTCGAGGAAGTAGCTGCTGTGTTAGTGGTTTTGTTGTACATTTCGTACACATTGTTTCTGCTATAATACATATATCAATTTTAAAGTAGGGTCACTACAACAAAAACATAATAACAAAACACGTTTGTGTTCATTAGGCTCCTATTGTGCTCGCTATAGAGTTTCGTAAATGTTAATTTGTATAGTCATATATGAGTATATTATCTTGTTGCCTACCTCACCTGTAGGTGGTGGTTTAATGTGGTTTCCAGTTGTTTGTTATTATTTAAACTAAAAACTACTTCCGATGTTAACTCGTAAATGTGTAGTAATGAGTAAATTAGCGTTTATAAAGCAGTAACTGTAATTAGGTTTGAATGTGGCGAAATGGCATCCGATATCGGCTGCAGCAACAGTGATGAACGTGCGGTTTATACAGCTATAAATGGATAGTGGTAGAGATTTGGCTGGCAGCAGCACGAGATGTATTTTTTATGTTTATAATGCAGATACGGTTAACAGAGTCTTTATCATATGTATAATATAGTGAATAAGTGCGTTTCAAGTCAGGGGTATCTAACTATTTATGCACTGCACAGGCTATACGAAGTTTATAACACCCACAATTGGGCACACGCCATTTACTCCGCATGAAGCTGCTAATTTGTCGCAGCCGATATCAAACAAATATAAGATATAGCTACCAATCAAACTGAGCGATCAAAATCATGTTCTCGTATACTTTTAAGCTATTGCATAGTTACTATTGCTGGCTTTGAGCATGGTGACAGAATCAAGAAATTCCGTAACGGAAACAAACCTAACACGATCACAAAGTAAGCGCAAAATGTTTGCATACTCTTCGGCGTATTTTCGCATATCTCAAGCGGAACAAATCAATTGAAGAGCCAAGTGAATCAAAAATAATAATATTTAAGATAGAACTTTTTTTATTGGCAAATAAAAATATAGAATTTAATTAATAAAAAATAAATTATTCAATATTCGGAGTAACATTATTATTATTTTGGTAAATAACTACGCCAACTTTTGGAAGAGTATCTCGTTTGACTTGAACAATAAAATTGAAATTGGGTATTTCAATCGAATACTCAATGGTAATAAATTTCCACATATCTTGGCTGCCGATTTCAACATCAACTTCGCTGATAAAATATCAGAGCGGTTGACAACTTTTCTTGCGGATAAATTGAATTTGAAAATGAAAAATGATTCACAAGAATTCAGAACAATATATGGGGCCACCATTGGCGCGGTATCTTCCAGATATTTAGAGAATATGAAGTCTGAAACTTATGATTCTTATTTCAGTTACCATAAACCTATATTTGCAATTATAAACATTTTTCAGTAAACTACATGTATTGTAACATAATAAAACTATTTTAAACAATATTAACTTCTTATTTATTCAATAAAAGTAAAAAATTTGTTTTATTATCGATCACCACGCAGAAAAAGTGTAACTTGAATTAATTAATCAAAGAAAAAACTTGAATTAATATCAAAGAAAAAAAAAATACGGCATAAAAAATAAATAAATAATTTTAATTGCATAAGTTGTTAAAAAATGCTATATTTTTTTTTATATGTAAAGGATATTATAAGGCCGGAATTGTTTAATTAATTGGTAGTTGATAATCGTTAACCTTATGAAAAATTAATCTTAAAATATTTTGTTCACACATTATTCTGTGAGCCATTTGCATACTTAATGCATGGCCATTTAAAACAAAAACAAAAATAATATTTAATATTCCACATTACTTTAAATATTTTTGTATTGTCTGCTTAATTGCTAGTGTGGGATTAAAACGTTATGTTTTTTACGTTGTTTACGAAATAAAAATTTCCATAAAATAATCATATACATAAAGTTTCAATGTTATTCCCGCCAGTAACGGGTTGTGCGCACATTAAAACGCGACATTTTCAACGCCTTCCGGCTGGTAACTGCTACTAAAAACGGAAACAATGCGCGTTCGCGTGCATCTTGCAGCAACAATGCAGCAATAACGCTACAAACAAATTGCTTTTTTCTACGCGCTGTAGTCGCGGAGTCAACGAACAAATTAACAGGCAACTAGACAAACTGCTAGGTCCAATAAAGCGTACCGCAACGGCCCAGACTGGACCGCGGACCGCTGTATGTACGTCTGTACGCGCTGCCGACCAAGCCCAACCAACAAGGCAAGTTGGGCTATTTTTTTATTTTCTTTTTTAAAAATAATAAACAAGTAACACAAAAAGCGTTGCAAGCGCGTGTCTTGAACTCGTAAAGTTTAACCCGCATTGCATGGTTTGGCCTTTTGACTCGGGCTTCACGTGAATACACAATGCAGATAAAACAAAAAGTCATGCGCACAC